GTATAGTTCCATATGACATCAACCAATCAATCAAGAATAAGGAATCAGTAGATTATAATTTAAATTAAATGAAATTAATTGGCGAAATAAATTAAAATTTTTAGTTAAAAAAAGGTCGTAAAATACAGTGGAATGCATATTATGCTGATGGTAAAATATTCTCGATTGATTATTAACAGGATAACATACACAAATTTAAACAATCATTCCTTTGCACCGATGAATATCTTCCAAAAATCATACTGTTCGTTAACTTACATTATTTTGTCTATAATTTGTTGCTTTTCTCAGGTGATTGAACAACTACATTTGAAGAAGCATTCATTTGTTATGTGTAATTTTGCACCTCCGGATATGATTGGCCATACCGGGATTTGTGAAGCGGTCGTGAAAGCAATTGAAAACAACTTAGTTACTTTTTCTATTTATCCCCTTTTTGCTAAATTCTTATTATGTTAATCAAAGCAACAGGTGTACTACTAGCATACTTGTGATGAAAGAGAGGTGGCATATATTTAGTATTTATATTGCAAAGATAGTACAGTTTGCCCACACTTGCAATTTAGGTAACTTTCTATATTTCACCATTTTTAATAAAATCCACAACATCGGGTTTTAGTTTTGAAATATCGGCTAACCATTACAAAATACTAATTTTATTTCGTGCTAGTTTCGGATATTCGACAAAGTTCAAATTTATGGGTAAGTTATCGGATCGAGAAAATGCAAAGATATAGCAAGTCCAAAATATAAAGTAAGCCAAATTCCATAATTAATAGTAAGAACATAACTAATAATACGAACTAATTAATAACAATGATCTCCATAATGTCAGCACCGTTAAACCAACTTGGTATATGAATAGCGATGAAAAATTGTAAATGATTATCCAGCATACCATTTGCTTGCATACCATTTAAGCATCTTGGTACACGAGTTAACCATCTTGGCATACCAAGTAACCATCTTGGTACATGAGTTAACCATTCGGTAAACCAGTTAACCCATCTCGGCATACCAATTAACCATCTCGACACATCAGTTAATCATCTTGGTACACTAATTAACCATCTCGGTATACCAGTCAATCAAGCATCATGATCTTTTATATTCAAAATGGCTTTCATTTTTATATCTTAAAAGAATGTCATTGATTTCTTAGTTGATATTATAACATTGTTGACAAAAAGATTTTCCTGATAGTTAACAGTAGATAGTATAAGAAGGGATGATATTATTGCAAATAGGACAAGTTCAAACCGTAATATGTCTTATCTACGGCCACTATTTATAATTACCATTATCAAATCTTTTCTCTTTGACCGATGCTACACGCTGTCCTAATTCTTGTATTTAAATATGACATAGCGCAACATTATGAAGGTTCTTACCATGGAAACATGAATGTCTCTTTTTATTGCAACTATTTGCCATATGTTCAATTGAAGACAGTTTTAGGCTAGCATTATTTTCTTCCTTCAATTGTTTTCATTAGGTGCATCATCAACAATTTCTGATATGACACCGTTCATATGTCACATCAAAAATTTTCCACACTCTCAAAGAGCTTTTTATTTGAAATAAATTTTTTAATCAACAAAATTTCAGGTTCCTAAATACATTGAAATGTTTAAGTTTGCACAGAACACGTTTATATTTTTTTAAGCCTTTTTTTTTTCTACATTAAAATCTTTCCAAATTTTCATCTCTCATCGCTTTAAAACATCGTTACTTTCATCGATTTAACATTACACTCATTTTCTCACTCTTTACTTATAGCAGGTAAGAAACTTACGATCGTCATCGTAGGATGATGTAATTATGTTTGAACATTTCTCAAATCAATGATTCATTCTCTCTCTCTCTTATCGATCAAACTAAACTAGTGAATAGCATAAACTTTAGTTTATCATTTTCTTTGTTAAAAATTTAGAAATGAAAATTCATATTTTTGTACTTTTTTTTTCTCATTCTTATTTTCAGTCTTTTTAAATACTATAATAAAAGTAAGGAAATCTTTTTTTTAATTATGAAAAATGAAGGATTACTTCATATCTTTATTAGCAATCAATCGATAATATGTATCCTCAAGAATTCTTTTTTGAATCAATCAATAGTACATATCGTCAAGAATTATCTTTATCGAATCAATCGATAACGTATATATTGCTGGGAATTATTTAAATCTTCGTTATTCTCTTTTTTTTTCATTGTGGGATAGAACTTAATAACAATAAATTAGTACAAATTATTATGTAATATTTTGAAAGTTTGCTGGAATGTCTAACGATAGAAATTATTGAGTGATTTTTTAAATATTCTTTCAAATGTTTAGTTTTTTAGGCTATCGTCGATACTTCTATCAATAGCTATTGCTAACTGTTAGTGACTTCCGGAACTAACTTGCTAACTTTTCGAAAAAATGCTAAAATTTTCAAATTCAATCAATGAAGTTTAACTCAACTAAAATTCAATTGAATTTCCTGAATAGTAATGGAAATTACTTCGGATCAAACTTCTGGAACTTCTTATTTCATATTTCATTGCATACAACGAGAAGGGTGTCTGTTTCTCGGTTGTCTATCTGCTGTCTGATTTGTTGGAACTGACCGCTAGTTACATTTTACGTGTCTTAGTTTTTCTGATGTACGTGAGGGTGTATGTATGTGCACGTGATGATTTACATCTACAAGTTTATAATATCGGAATTTTCGACTTTTTAAGAGAGTTTCAAATTTTATAAGTTTTTACGTAACCTTCAAATTTCGAACTCATTTTATTCACGTTTTAATGGATGTTTATGACGAAGACATGCTTATATGGGACTTATATACAGTGTATCAAGTTGTATTGTTTCAGATTTTTCAACTTTTGCCATAAAAAAGGAAGAAATGACTGCAGTGAAAAATCAAGTGTGTCTGGTAGTGATTGATGGTTGGGGAATCAGCGACGAAAGCAAAGGTTCTCATTTTTTTGATTTCATTCCAGTCGTGGAATTTTTATGAAATGTGTCAAGTATCAGATAAAAGTTTCATTTAACCACTGATATCATTTTTATCTAACTATGCTCGTACTGAGAGATCTGATTCGTAAAGCTGATATTCTAGGAACACGATAGGTTAATTATCGTACGTCGGAAAATTTGGCCTGTTGAATAATAAGTATTGCTTTTGTGGTGCAAAAATTAGAATAAGAATATAAGTTCTAATACCGAAATCAGTTACGGTAATAACTTTTTGCAGGCAATGCAATACTAAATGCTAAAACGCCGGTAATGGATGAGCTTTGTGCACTGAATTCACATCCGATTCAAGCACATGGCTTGCATGTTGGTTTACCGGAAGGACTTATGGGTAATTCAGAAGTGGGTCATTTAAATATTGGTGCTGGACGCGTTGTTTATCAGGTAAAATGGAAGATATAGTTTCAGCATTTTTTTCTGAAATGCTTTTTTAAAGTTATTTCAGTTTTTTACTAAATACTTATCATGAATTGCTACTTTAGGATATTGTGCGCATAAATTTGGCAGTCAAGAATAAAACTTTAGTGGAAAATAAGCATTTGAAAGAAGCTGCTGAACGTGCAATTAAAGGGAATGGTCGCATCCATTTGTGTGGTTTGGTATGATTTGGATTAGATTTTGTTCAAATATATTTTTTAATGTTTTCATTTGTTGATGCAATGCTTATAAATGTTTTTTTATTTGATAGCCCGAGCTATTTGACCAATAAGACATTTGTCAATAATCGTTACTCAATATTCCTCGTGTGACACATTCACAAAATTTGTAAATCTAAAATTCATGAACATTAAAGATTTCAATGAATTTCCAGGTCAGCGATGGTGGTGTTCATTCGCATATCGACCATTTGTTTGCGTTGATAATGGCTTTAAAACAACTTAAAGTACCGCAGCTTTACATTCAGTTCTTTGGAGATGGTCGCGATACGAGTCCAACAAGCGGAGGTACCATTTTTGTTTGTCAGTTTAAAATCATTGCTTTTTTTGCAAAATAGGAAAAGGGAGATTTTTTTTGATTTCAGTTCGTTATCTTCAACAACTGATTGATTTCATCAACAAGGAACAGTATGGGAAAATAGCAACAATAGTAGGACGCTATTACGCGATGGACAGGGATAAGCGATGGGAACGAATTCGGGTAGATAGCGTTTATAATGTATTTCTCAGTACCAGTAACACAATAGAACCATTTTTAACTGGGATTTCAAAGTGTTCCAGCATATTATCTTCGATAGATTTATCAGGTGATATGGAAAAGCTGTTTGCTGGAAATAAACACTTTTTAGTGATTAAACACTCATAACATCCTTCATACTTCTATTAGTGTTTATTGCAGAATAATAGAAGTTTAGGTACTCTCTATTGCATTTCTTTCTTAACGTTGAAATTCTATTATTAATTTGGGTCTCTATTTGTAATACATTTCTCATATATACCTGCATTATGTATTTTATTAATTTCTGTTGAGATAAAGCGCCCAAGTCAAATTCTGTGATAGGTCATCGTTTGTAGCGTAGGAATGTGTGTTATTTGTTCATATTTTTAGGTATGCTATGATGCACTGATTGGTGGCATTGGTGAGAAGACTACAATTGATAAAGCGATTGACGTTATCAAAGGACGATATGCGAAGGATGAAACCGATGAATTTTTGAAACCAATAGTTCTTTTGGATGAGGGACGTACAAAAGGTGAATTATATTTCTGGTTCTATCTCTTAGAGTCTGTTAATTCTGTAAAAAGTAGCATAACTGTTTATTTCAGTGTGTCAAAATATATTTCTTTTAATTGAAAAATCTTTCGTGCTTTTGATACTGACAGTGGTAACTGGGATAATGCGGAAAAATAAAAAACCTTATGATTTTAAATCTGCAGAAACGTAAAAACTTTATAATTTTAAATCCCATTCGAAGGACTTAAAAATGATTCTTATGAAAGAGGACCATTACTTAAATCTTTAACGTCAGCCTTTCTTGGAATGAGCCAAAACATTGAACTTACGAAGTTGCAATGAGACTTCTGATTTTAAGAGCATTTGTTTTTTACCGATATTTATCATAAATTTAAACTGTTGTTTCATGGATTTATTAATTGTGAAAAAAGATGGGCGATATTTTTTTGTTTGAGATGGTGATACCTTGATATTCTTCAATTATCGAGCTGATCGTATGCGAGAAATTACTGAATGTATGGGTATGGAACGATATAAAGATCTCAAGTCTGATATTCAGCATCCGAAGAATATGGTATGTATGCGTATCCATTGCTTTGATTACCAAAAAGCAGTTGAACGAAAAAGCTCAAATGAGTACTTGTTATTCAACATATTAATGCCGTCGTTCATATTTTTGGATTGAGACTTGAACAGAAAAAGATTTTAGGAGTAACTTAATTCTATTTTTCGAGTATTAGAGAATACTTTGTGATTTTAGAGGCCTATGTGGAATTTTGAGACGCATATTCCCAAGTGTTTATATTCTCTTCAATTATTTCATTCTCATGAATGCTTTAGCAAGTAATTGGAATGACTCAGTACAAGGCAGAATTTACGTTCCCTGCACTTTTTCCACCGGAATCTCATACAAACGTATTGGCAGAATGGTTAGCTACGAACGGAATAACACAGTTCCATTGTGCAGGTTGGTTTTGTCCTTTTCAGTATTTTGACAAAGCGAATTTAAATATTTTATAGGAATAAGTAATTTAATTAATCTTAATTTTTAGGCATTTTGAGCGCTTGAAACCATTCATTTTCTAACAGGCAATAAATACTGTTTCGGTTTTCAGCATTACGTGGTGAACATCCACCTGTATAAAATTTTTATTCAATCTAAATGCCATCTCTATAGGGAAAAAAGATTTTCTTGCATTCAATCGTAATCACCTAAAATATCCTGATATTTCAATATACTATATCTGTTCATTAGAGGGTAATTAACAATGTTAGTGGGCTAGATTACCTAGGCTATATTGACTCTTTCAGCATTATTAGCAATGTCTTTCTCATTATTAACAATATAGCGACATTCTAATGCATTTAATCCATTCCAATTAATCACAGTGAAATTATTTCATCAAATAATAGTCCTGGTTTCCAGAAACAGAAAAGTACGCGCACGTCACATTCTTTTTCAACGGCGGTGTAGAGAAGCAATTTGCAAATGAAGAGCGTTGCTTGGTAGTGTCGCCGAAAGTTGCTACCTATGATCTTGACCCACCAATGAGTTCTGCGGGTGTGGCTGATAAGGTAACTTGCTGTGTGTTCATACTTCTCATTTCGTATCATACTATTTGTTAGTTAATATTACTTCTTTAACTTTGGTTTTTTTTAAGAGTTGATGAATTTACTTTCAGCTAATTTTTGAAATCTTTATTAATTTAAGTTTTTTCTGATTAAATTTTTAATTTTTTGGAAGAATATTGTTTTAACAAAATGTCTATAATTTGCTGCTTTTCTCAGGTGATTGAACAACTGGATTTGAAGAAACATCCCTTTGTTATGTGTAATTTTGCACCTCCGGATATGGTTGGCCATACCGGGATTTATGAAGCGGCCGTAAAAGCAGTTGAAGCAACTGGTTACTTTTTCTATTTATCCCCTTTTTGCTAATTCTTATTGCGTTTTTCAAAGCAACAGATGTACAACTAGCATACTTGTGATAAAGAGAGGTGGCATATATTTAGTATTTATGTTGCAAAGGTAGTACAGTTAACTAGTTAAGCAGTTTAAGTTTTGGCTGGTTCCAAATCACATGTCATCCTATCTGTTGTGAGAAATGTTTAGGACGTATTCTTTATTCATTGATTTTGGTATATTTGTTATTTTGATTTATAACTGTTATCATTCGGAAGCTTTTTTAGATATTGCGATTGGACGAATATATGACGCATGTAAGAAGAATAACTATATATTGATGGTAACTGCAGATCATGGCAATGCTGAGAAAATGATGGCGCCAGACGGTAGCAAGCATACTGCTCACACTTGCAATTTAGGTAACTTAATATATTTCAGTACACTTTCTATATTTCGCCATTTTCAATAAAATCCACAACATCGGATTCTAGTCTTGAAATATCGGCTCATCGTTACAAAATACACATTTTATCTCGTGCCAGTTTCATTTTTTGGACATTTTTGGAACATTTTACTTACAGTACCATTCACTTGTTCCTCAACGAAATTCAAATTCATGGATAAGTTACCGGATCGCGAAATGGCTCTTTGTGATGTTGCTCCAACAGTGCTAAAAGTTATGGGTGTGCCGTTGCCTCCCGAGATGACCGGAAAGCCATTGGTTAATGAAGTTTAGGTGGAGTCTTGTTTAGACAAATAGAAATCTGCTGGAATGACTTTTTTCTATTTGACAGTCCGTAGAAGGTGGTTTGTTGTGTTCATTTTCTAATTTATTTTCGATAGTTGCAGATAATTGATTTTTTTGAGCATTATATGTGATTTGCATTTGCAGAGCGATAAAAATTAGCAAAATAAATTCTGTGTTGTCAGTACTTTTTTGTGATGAAGTAGAGTATTTCTGCTTATTTAATGTCGCAATTAAAATCATTTTTGTAAAATAAAATATCATATCGTAATATTTTTGCTTAAACATAGATCTTATGTAAGCTATTCATATAATATTTGAATAAATATTAGCACAAAACATATCGAGATATTCCTGCTGACTAATTTCTATATAAATCATATTATTCTCTGATATAAACGCAAAAAAATTCAATTTTGTTTTTAAAGTTTATGCGCCCTCCTGAAATAGTTTGGTAAAAATTCCTTAAAATAACACTTCCCGTAAATTGGAGCATTTATTTTATTACCCAATAAAATTTTTAGTAAATGTTAAAGTGAAATATTTTCAAGTCATGTGTTGTAACAAATAAGCAGCAAGAGTAAAGAAGCTATCAATTATGGGCATTTACAAATAAATGGCTTAAAAAAGAATTGTTTGATTCATTTGGCTTATTTTCGAACCATTTCCACGCAATCAATTCATTCCTTCTGTTTTTCTGCCATCTCAATCCGTTTAGTTGCTTTGTGAAATGATCATTTTTTCCGCTTTCGTCTAAATAAAAGCCATTTAATAATTCAATATTGTTAGTAATGATAATAATGATGATTATTCTTAGGATTAAATTAATAGTCTTGTTTTCTTTTTCCTTTTTTCTTCTGATATTTATTTATAATTCTTTTGGGATTTGCATTTCTCAACTTATGTTTTTATTTTTGGAAAAACGAAAAGAAACGAAACGACTTCATTGGTATAATAAATAAGTTTTGTTGAAAATGTGAGGAAGAAAATTTTCTTATTATATGATAAAATTAGAATTAGATGGAATTAAAATTAATTAAATTAATTTATTAATTTTTTAAAATTTTTAAATTAATTTTTTTAAAGTTAATTTTAAATTAATTTTTTAATTAATTTATCAATTTTTATTTATTAAATTAATTTACTTAATCAACAATTTACGCAACCAATCTCATGTTTCCAATTTTCTGCACTGATGACAGATAATTCATTCATATTTCTGTTAACAGTTAACAGTAAAAAAAAAAATGGTGCCAAACTTACTTCTCTTATTGTTTTTAAAAAAACATTATAAGTAATGAACGAAAGAATATGGGAAGTATACAAATGTGCATGAGATTAAGATATATTATTCGTAAAACTTCTTATTCGATTCTATTCAAAAAATAATCATCAAAATGCTTAACATTCAATAATCCATTCCAAATACGATTTTAATGTTGTCATTAAGAATTAAAACAAAAAATTCAACAATATCTTAAAATAAGAGGAAATGATAAAAATGATTATTACATATTATATTCACTGACATCACTGCTTGTCACATCTTTTCATTGAATATATTTCCATATTAATTATATCAAATGATATCATCCTAAACAACGTATTTTTACTTTTTCATTATCAGTATTTGAAAAATTTTTTCAATTTCATTTTTCCTTTTTTTTAATTACTAAAATTTAAATTAAATTTAATTTATTTCTTCTTCGCCGACAAACTAAATGTAAAGTTAACTAACTATGTGACTACAACTATTTTAATTATAAATTTTCTATATAATATTTGACAAATTTATATATTGCATTTTTAAAGTTAAAATTGTGTTTATGCCTTTTCGGAAATAACTAAATTAGCAACATCTTTGATAATGGAATTAAGGGAGAGAGGAGGAGAAAGAAAGAGAGAGAGAGAGAGAGAGAGAGAGATTGCTTCTTAAAACGGAAAGTTATATCGGTTTTTATTTTTGTTTTTAAAAATAGGAATTATTTCTTAAAACAAAAAGATATACTGATTTTTGCTTCTACTGGTAATTTTCTTTTCTTAGATTTTTTTTCAATAGAATAATTACTTCTACCGGTAATTAATTTTCTTTTGTTTATAAAATAATTAAATGAGAAGAAATGTGTAATGAATTTCTGTGTTGATAATTAGTAGATGGATTTATGTAATTTCTTTTTTTTTTTGTTTTAATAATTATTAGAAACAAAAATTGAGGTTGTCTAATTTAATTGTGTATTTCAGTAATTATGATAATGTTGTTGTATGGATGTGTTTGTATAAGGTATAGGATTTAATAAACATAATTCTCTTTTGAATTCAATATGAGTTTACAATTTATGGAAATAATGATAATTTCGGATTTCAGTAATGATAACATCGAAAATGCTTCATGGAAATAATGATAACTTTGGATTTCAAATAAGTTAATATCGATATATTACATTCAAATAATTGTTATTTCACAATTACTTTTTAAATATTCATTAAATACGAAATACTAATGAAAATAATGATAATTTCGGTTTTCAGTAATGATAACTTCGAAAGTACCTTAGGGAAATAATGATTACTTTGGATTTCAAATAAGTTAATAACGATATATTATATCCAAATAATTGCTATTTCAGAATTACTTTTTAAAAAATTCATTAAATATCGAAATACTAATTTTTATTTCATTTATTGTATTATTATTATTATTGTTATTGTTATTATTATTATTATTATGATTATGATTACATTTAATAATGAAAAATCATTATATCCTTTCGTATTTTTTTTTTTGGAAAGAAACAATAAATTCTTCTGAAAATTAAATTTATTAATTTTGTTAATAATATAAAAGAAAAAAAGATTTATTTATCATACATAATTTTTTCTGCAAATATTTGTTTATCCTAAATTTGAATAACCGATTAATTCGTAAAATTTGAATTATTTTCTGTTAAGAATTTCAACACTTAAATTTTATATTTTAAAATTTTAATTGCAAATTCAAAGTATTTTAATTTTATTTTTGAACTATCAAAAAAACTTTTTTCTCAATTATATTTATGAAATAAATTAATTAATTAAAATTTAAATCAATAAATAAAGAAATGAATTGTTATAGTTATCCGTCGTCGTCGTCGTCGTCGTCGTCGTCGTCGTCGTCGTCGTCGTCGTCGTCGTCGTCGTCGTCGTCGTCGTCGTCGTCGTCGTCGTCGTCGTCGTCGTCGTCGTCGTCGTCGTCGTCGTCGTCGTCGTCGTTGTCGTCGTCGTCGTCGTCATTTATATTTATATTTATAATAAATACATTAAAACAATAATAAAATGGCATTGGATAAATTTTGAAATTAATTTTTTAGCTTTATAGATTGATGGAAATAAAAGTTTTCATGTAAGTAAAATTAATCTTTGCAAAGAATTAAAAGATTTCGTGCAAATAATTAAACTTACAAATGCAACATTTTCATATTCAATATATTCAGTAAATATTTTAGTACATTTTGTATTTTTAGTACATTTTGTGCATCCATTTTTAGTACCATTTTGTAGTATTAAGTATTAAGTACCATTTGAATTATTATATTACTATTTGTTTGCATTTAGTACATTTTGCAGTATTAAATACCATTTGAATTATTATATTACTATTTGTATTACGATTTATTCTTCATTCACTTTTCGTCTAATATATTTTTAAATCGCATCATTTCTTCAGTTCATCATCATCATCGTATATATATTTATATAAATACATTAAAACAATAATGAAAATAGCATTTAAAATTTATTACTCCCATAGTGTGATATTTATCTTTAATATTTTCAATCTTCAGCGCATATCTTCATCATTTTTCTTATCTTTATCATTTGTTTTGAATCATGAAAAAGTTTTTGAAAAAATTTTTTTGCCGACAAAATTTTGAAAGCTTTAAAAGTTTGCAAGAAAAGATAAGAAGATGTGATAAGAAGACGAAAAATAAGAGAAGCTATGATTGTATTGTTAAATGATAGAGTTTTTTAATGTTAAAAGATAAATATCACACTATGGGCAAATAATCGAAATTGATAACATTAAAAATATTTTAATATCATTTCACGAATTCTTTCAATAATATTTGTTTTTGTTAACAAAAATCTCTGTTAATCTTTTTGTTTTTATTAGAATGTTTTCCATTAATTAATCAAACCTTAAATCCATTCAAAATCCATTAAATTTTAAATAGTTTTAAAATTATTAATTATTTGCATATTTATAACTACTGATGACAAATTTGTTACTAATAAAAAGGAAAGAATAAGAAAAGAAAATATTTTAGTTTATTTTCTTCAAATAGATCTTTATCTTTTTTTTCAAAATTGTTATTCAAATATTCTTCAAATTTATAAATTAGAGATATTAATTAATATTACGTTTGATAATAATAGTAACTTAAAATCAGTAATTGAAATTTTTCAATCTATTAATTATTCAATTATTGAATTTAAATTATTATGATCTATTTTATTTTTAAATTGCTACTTAAATATTTTCAAATTTAGGAATTATAGATATTAATTAATATTACATTTAACAATAATACTAACTTAAATAATAATAATAATAATAATAATAATAATAGCTTAAAATCAGTAATTGAAAATTTTCAATCGATTAATTATTCAATTATTGATTTTAAGTTATTATTATCAATTTTATTTTTAAATTTCTATTCAAATATTCTTCAAATTTAAAAATTAGGGATATTAATTAATATTACATTTAATAATAATAACTTAAAATCAGTAATTAAAAAATTTCCTATCAATTAATTAATCAATTACTGATTTTAATTTATTATTATCAATTTTATTGTTTACTTTTCAGGCGTTTATTTCTATTATTTTTAGTCCTTTAAAACTTTATAGCTGTCTAAAGTGAAACTTTGCTATCATTTTTCTTTTCCAATTTGATTATCGAAATTACAAAAAGAATAAAAAGCTTTTGTTTCAATAAATTTCCAAATTTAGCTATTATCCAACCGTAAGCCTAAAAGCTTTTCGTCTTTTTCATTTTCATTTTTCGATTAATAAAATTGACAAATTGAGAAAAGTATAAAGAAATTTTCGTTTTTTGAAAACTATAATCATAAGAAAAAGTAAGTAATCATAGTAATAAATAGTAAATAGTATCAAATAATAAATCACTATAAATATTCTTAATTATCAATCATTAATAAATCATTATAATAATCACATTAATACTTGCTATTAATTATTTCGTAGTTTCATACAAAAATTGAATACATAATAGTAAATAGTATCAAATAATAAATCACTATAAATATTCTTAATTATCAATCATTAATGAATCATTATAATAATCACATTAATACTTGCTATTAATTATTTCGTAGTTTCATACAAAAATTGAATACATAATAGTAAATAGTATCAAATAATAAATCACTATAAATATTCATAATTGTTAACCATCTATAAATCATTATAATAATCACATTAATGATTGCTACTGATTATTGTATAATTTCATGCAAAAATTCATTCGAAAATTCAATACATTATTGGGCAAAAATTTATGAAAGATAATTAAAATTTGAAATTGTCAAAAATATTAAATAATTGACAGTAATATTTAATTTACCTAATATTAAGCAAATTAAATGAACTAATTACCTTTTTTTTTTAATTATATTATTATATTTAAATGAATTCAAATGAATTTTCATTTTTATTTAATTATATTTAAATGAATAATACAATGAATATTTCATGAAAGTAATGATCGTAAATGGATCAATTAATTTTATTATATCATTTATATTTCGTTATAAACAATGAATTCATTTAATATATTATTTCTATTATCCTAAAATGCCTGATATTAATAAATTTTCAATTATTTTGAAATATCTCATTTCTCTTCCCATTCAACGATATTATTTGATATTTAATCCATCGTTTTTGTTTCTATCATATCTATTTGTTTGTTTTATTGTTTGCAAAAGAAATTCATCTGTCATTTATATTTCGATTTCAAATTTTTCTTCCTTCTAAATATCTTTATACTTTCCTGTTTATTTTATTTCAACAAATATATTTTGGCCATTTCTTCCATATAATTGTTTGAACCTTGACCTTCGTTCTTTTAACTTTCTCTCCTTTTAATTTGCATCCAAATTTTCAGCCTTTTAAAGTGCTATTATATATTGTTATAATTTTAAACTTTTTGCATTAATGTTTAAAAATATTTTTCAAAAATAAAATTTTAAATCTTTTCATTTCTAATAATAATTTCAATGTTTTTTTTTAAATAATGAATTTCAGTATTGATAATTAATCACAATCATTGATATGATAAGTAATTACAATCATTGATATTGATGAGTAATTACAATCATTGATTAAAAATAGCAAATTATCATTGTGTAATTTATTAAATTTATATTGAAATGTGCATCGCTATTATTTTTAATTTTTTAAATTTATATTGAAATCTGTATCGCTATTAATTTTAATTTCTTAAATCTATATTAAAAAATTTATAATTACTAAATTATTCCTATCCATACTGAAATTAAAACAAAAGAAAAACAATCATTTACTATATTCCAAAATATATCAAAGAAAAAAATGATATAAAAAGAATTATCAATTAGATAACATTTTAAAAAAAAACAAATGAATAATTACAAGAAATTTTTCGTATTAAAATAATGTAGCAAAATGGAATTTGACCGTATAATTAAGTTCATAAAAATCTAAAGAAAGAAATGGATGAGAATGAGAAAGAAGAAAAATTGATGTTTATAGTTTTTATTTTAGGCATTATTCAATCCTAAAATTTTGAAACCACTGTTATCCTCCAATGAAATTATTATCCTCCAATGAATTCGAAGCAATTTAGTAATATACAAAAAAAGGCAATAATTGGATGAAACAAAATTGAAGAAATTTGTAAAAGAGCAATTTTCGGATTCTTTAGAGAGAGAGAGGGAGAGAGAGAGAGAGGTAAAAGAAAGGAATTTGAAAAATGAAGTGAATTAAAAAAGGACGAAAGAAAGCTGTAAGAGATAAATTTCGTCGTCATTTTAATTTTCATTTTTATTTGCAAAAATTTTTATACATTTAAAAAGAGAGAAAAGAATTTAAAATGGTAGAGGAAAGAGGAAAGAGAGAAAAGAAATGACAATTGCATTTTATGACTTTTTGAAAATTACTAAAAGGTTAAGCAATAATTTATTAGGTGACAAGTTAGGTGACAAATTTTATAGGTAATAAAATTGTAATAAATGATTTTTAATAATTATAAATAATAAACGAGGTAATTTTTTCTTTTTTCTTTTTTTTATAACTATAAAAAAAGGTAGATATAGTTAATAAAATATTTTTATATTTATATTATAAAAATAAAACAAAATATTTTATATTACGTAATAAAACTTATGCATAAATAAGCAGCTAATTTATATAAAAT